TTTTACCATGTTGTTTCTTGACCTGGGTTCTGGCCATCTGAGTAACCTTGTGTTTCAGCGGGGGCGACTTACTGTTGGGTCTACAGGGAACAGTGTGTGTGTGTGTGTGTGTGTGTGTGATGGTAGGTAGGTATAGCTATACTTGTGTGGCCTTTTTTTTTTTTTTTTTTAAAAAACTTGCTTTGTGGAAACCTTCTGCCCTCCTTCGTTGTGGAAACCCTTTGTCCTTGTGGGGACATTTTTTCAGGTCCCCCTCGAGGAAAAAGGGGATTTTGAGATATAGGATTTAGTTTGGAATTTTGATTAGATTACAGTTAGGATTAGAGTGAGGATTAAGATTAGGACATACATTTAGAATGGTTTTAGGTTAAGGTGAGGGTTTAAGGAACGCATAATGTCTGTGTGAAGTCCTCACAACTCATGAAAAACCAGACTGTGTGTGTGTGTGCACTCGTGCGCATCTGTTGGTGCAGATGTGTGTTTTCACGGAAAGCTTATAGTTTTGCCCCTTTCACCTGTTTCTGTCAGGACTCAACTGAGCCATTCTAACCTTTTACCTTCCCCTCCTCACCCACTAACCCTCTGCCCATCCCCCATGCTCTCATTTGGGGTTCAATTTACCCCCCTGCTGCCACCCCCTCCTCTCTGAGAGGCTTGCTGAGAAGCAGTTGACTGATGCAGACTGTCGATAAGGCCTACAGATAACAGGAATAAAGAGCTGAATCCCCCGCTCCCCCATCCATACGAACCTCCCACCTAATCCGCTATCCATGCCTCCCTCTCTCTAATCCAACCTCTATGCAAATCTAAACACACACCCTTCTCCTCCTCCTCCTCCTTCCCCTGCCTTTGCTGCTCCTCATTCATTTGTAGTAGAGCTCTGCTTTAACCGGCAGTAGCAGTACCAGCAGCAGTAAGGGCTTTGTTGTGGACTAGTGCTGGGAGAAGGCGAAAGGAAGAACCAGAGTCAGAAGAACAGTTTAAATGTTGAGGGAGATTCAACAAGGAAGTTAGGAGGAGTCGAGGAAAGACCAGCAGCACCGGCTTCATGACAAAGAGTTCTCTCTAAAGAAACAACCAGGAAGCCACTGTGCTCATTGACCAGCATTGTCGCTCTACACTTACACTGTTGCATGTGCTGCTGCTGCTGCTGCCGCTGCTTCTGCGAAAAAAAAAAAAGCCACAACAGCAGCAGTGAAGTTCTGCTTTTTCTTGCAGAGGATTTCCTGGTGAGTGAAATGTTTACGTTTGATATTTTTGAGATCGAAAGGGTCATATATAGATTTTGAGTTTAAACGTTGTGGTTAATAAAAAGCTAAAGTTGAATTAGCTGTAGTTGTTCTCACATTCTGTTCAGTTACACATTTGTTCTTTAATGAAGTTCCTTTTGTCTGTGGAACAAAACATGTCATTATCATTTTCATAATTTTCTATATTTCCTTGTACACGTTCTATTCACGGTCACATTTGTGTAGACTTTTTCAAATTGTCCTTAACTATACAGTACTTCATGAAATGTAACAAATTGACATCAATAGCAGATAAATCATATATAGAAAGAGACCTGATAGTTACTACAGTGGCTTTTTTGGTGGGTTTTTTTTTCTTGTTTTGATTGTAATACATATACAGATCAGACCAGAGCAGATTAAATAGACTTGGAGATGACATTACATCAGTGTTTCTCAGTAGGACAGGGTTGAGCATCTATTTTATCTATCTAAAAACTCACATAATGTAGCTTCATTTCCTTCTGCAGGGGGTGCTGTTATCATGGTTTAGATTATCTGCTATGAAAAAGTGCAGCACCATAGCATTATTATCTAAATTATTATATTAATATTATTAAATGAATCTTTGCTGGGAGAAATAATTTATATTTATAATAATTTATATATTTATAACCAAGATACTCAGCTTAATAAACAGTAAACAGGAACAACAGTCTGCAGCAGCTGCTGAAGGAGAAAAGAAGGTATCTTCAGATGCTGAAAGTTGCAGTGTCAGTATCGGACATGAGAATCACCCCATGAAAGCCATCCCTACCCTGAAGTGTATTTAAATACATCAGATATCACTGCACAACATACAAAATATAACTATTTTGTATAACATTTCAAATAGTCAGTGTTCCTTTCCCTTCTCTGCCACAGATCAATTCAATGAGAATTGGAATTCTATTAGCCAGAACTCTTCTAATGAAAGTTCATCAAAGTACTAACAGATTGGCTCACACCGTTGGACCCAAAACTGAACATTTGTGAAGTGATTTTTGATCAACTAACGTTGTACGTTGACACATCAGTCAGAAGTGGTGAATTCTATTCCAGTGACACGTCTGTGTGGAAGTTGTGCATCGATGCCAGAGAAGACTGTAGCTGTGGTTATACTTTGTCTGAGTTAGCGCTCCACCTCTGCTGAAGGTGGCACCTTTACACCTGAACCTTCATTGCATGAGAACACCCTGTGTGTGTGAGTGTGTGTGTGAGTGTGTGTGTTCCCTGTATAGCTTCCTGTGGCGAACCTTTTGGTGGAACCTCTACTGTTGTGGTCACGGTTTGTCTACGTGAAGACCCACTTAGTGAAAGGCTACTTAGGAGTTCCGTTTTTGGCATAGTGTAGAACTTAGATATGTATTTGTGACAGTCGAGGTTGAGGGTGAGGTACCAGGATATGAGATGCGTTCTGTCTTGAGAAGTGCTCAATAAACAGAAGAAAACCTATTCATGTGTGTGTGTGTGTAAGTTATGGTTGTAATTAGATGAGTGGTAACTCTGCAGCGCCCCTCCCCCCCAGCCCCAGACAGCAGACACACTCTGCATCAACCCCATTCTTGTGCGTACTAAACACACACTCATGTCTTACACTCTCTGGCGTGCACACACACACATACGTGCACACGGGCTTCCTCAGGCTGTAGCCCTCATAGGTCAACTGGTTGAACTTTACACTTTTGATCAGAACCATATGCCTTTGTTTTGTTGCGTCGTATCTGTGCTAGCGATGCTTTGTTTCAATGTCTGCTGAGATTTTTGGCATTGTTACATATTCCAACATATTCTAATCCTTAGTTTGAGTTTAGGAAAAATTGCATTCATGTGAAGATAACTTGAATATATTTTTCAAATCATATTTCAATTTAAATGACTATATATTTTTTCTTATGTATTTATATATATGACGATATATGTATATACATATGTACTTATGTTTGTTTATATTTCTCCATCTTTCTATCTGTCATTATATATATACAAAGACAGATAGAAAGATGTAGAAACATATATATATATATATATATATGCATTTGTATGTATTTACATCTGTCGGAATATTTCAGCTATCTGTCAATCTGTTTACATCTTTTGCCTGTCTGTATCTCTATCTGTTTGTTTACATCTACATTTTATACATATATATATATATATATATATATATATATATATATATATTAAAAATGTGTTCAGCATTTGTCATTTGGGCTGGTGTGAGTTGAGCACCCCGGTGTCTGCCCAGGTTGGGTCCTGGTGAGAAAATGAACTCTTGCCCCCTGGAAACCCAACACTGCTCTATTCCACGCCAACTTTCACCCATTTCCCAATTAAGTAGCTTTCAGGGAGCAACGGCTAGCCCTTGGGAGAATACTGAAAACCTTCTATAGTCGCTCTATACCACCTCAGTCCCTCTAATGAAAGCCCCGGACCCTTGAGGACGTCCTCATGCACTCACAGGCCCCGACTCTCCATAAACAATACATTTGTAATGAAATTGGAGAGGTTATCTGTCTCCTTTCTGCCCTTCCTTGTTCTCATTATTTTGCTCTTTGCCTTTCACATGGAGCCTGGGATGATTGTGTGACGGTATCATGTAGTCACGCTAAAGCTAAAACTCCTTGACCTCTCCAAAACCTAGTTATAATTACAAATACAAGTCCCTGACATATTTTATTCAGAGGAGTCTTACAGTGGTGTTGAACTTTAATGGGATGATGTACAACTAAGCTCATGAAAATTGGTTGTTTACAGGCGGTTTTATCAATTGTTCGATTGTTTTTTTTTTTCTGCTGCTGGAATTTGAAGGATTAAAGAATTCTCTGAGGGCAGTGACTTCTGGCTCTGGTTTCATTGTGGGGGGGGGGGGGGGGGTTTAACCCTGAGACCTCGTCAGTCCACAGGGCTCCTGTTCTATTGTGAGGGTTTTTCTCCCCTTTTTAATTTCCCTGAAAATATAAATATCATCATCATATATATTATTGAGACATATCCTGATACATGGAGTTAGATGTGATATAATTGCAAGCTGTCTGCAGAGTATAACCAGCGTTTAGGAGGTTCTAAAAATATATATTTTATTTTTAAAAACGTGAACTTTACCTTTACCCTCCCATTCGTTGACAACATGTAACCATGGTGTCGGTTTCTTCCTCCACTGTGTGACGCTCTCTGATCTAATCTTCACATTTTTCCATTTCTCTTTTTCACTGACATTTTCTGAACTGACCTTCAGGCTTAGGTTTTATCTTCTCACACGCTCCTCTGGAGCTCAGTGGCACGACAACCTTTTAGTTTATCATTGGTGAACCAGGACATCTAAAGAATGCCAAGGTGCACTCGTTGACTTCAAGTAGCAGAGATCATGAATGTAATTAGTGGATATTATTGTGAAGAATTTGATGAAATTTGAGCTTTGAAACACAAGTAGACTTCTGTAATGTTTGAGTCTGCTTTTTACAGATTCGTGTTCTTAAAAATATGAAGGATTTAAAAAAAATATTTATTTTTCGGGCTTTCGACACAAAGACTTTAGACAAAAGTGTGTTTTTCCTTGTAGATGTTTTTTTAGTTTCTGGCTTTCATATTTTGAGTACAACCCGTTGTACTTTCCACAGCTGCCACTTGGCTCACCGATTGGCCAGCAGCACTAACAAATCTACAGAAGTCACATAATTTTGGCTGTAAATGATTTCTTGCTGACCTATAGTATTACTCCGTGGTACTACCTACCGGTCATTTAAGGTTCGATACTTAATTAAATTAAACCTAAAATGAAATTAAAGATTAGGATTTGTTTTAATTCTCCCATCTTTGAAGCACTGAATATTCTAGAATATTTAACTATTTTTGGGGTTTTTTGCTGAAGAGAGAATTAACTCGTTCTCATCTGGTCTGTTTTTTTTCTCTCTTGTGTTTTCTTTGCACAGTTACCCTCCCTGGTGCGCTCCTTGCTCCTCAGTCTAACACCTCAGGCTCCTTCACTACGCGTCGCTCTTCCTCCAACTCCTCCTCCATGCAGACCTCGTACCGACTGCCCAACCCTTTGCCGCCCCTTCCTGTTCGCAAGGGCGTCCGAGGTCGGCGTCCCAAATCTCAGACTATCGCTTTGTTAAAGGCGGCGGCCGAAGCAGCGGCTGGCCCCGCCGCCGGGGAAGGGGGCCCCCCCAAGCGCGCCCAGAGCAG